ATCCTGAGACAACCAGCAAAGGTCATTAGAGTGGAATCATGACCCTCATTAAAGATGAGGGAAGCTAAGTGACAGGTTTCAGTCTGAAGCTGAACATAGAGGCCTCTTTGCAAAAGAGGGGCCTGAGCTGGGATCTCTGAGATACTTCCGAATGAGGTGTGTTTCTAAAAGTGAGACACGTCCATTCTGGCCTCTCTTATAAAACCATCTCCCACCGGGCGTGGTGGCTTATGCCTGTAATCCCAGCACTTTGGAAGGCTGAGGATGGCGGAACACCTGAGTTCGGGAGTTCGAGGCCAGCCTGACCAACATGGAGAAACCCCATCTCTACTAAAAATGCAAAATTAGCCAAGTGTGGTGGCGCATGCCTGCACTCTGTTATTCCGGATGCTGAGACAGGACAATCACTTGAACCCAGTGAGCCCAGATTGCGCCATTGCACCCAGCCTGGGCAACAAAAACAGAATTCCATCTCAAAAAAAATAATCTCCCAAAAAGCAGGCCCTCTAGTACTCAGACTTTTGCCAAACCCAAGGACCACTGTGTTTATTAATTTTATTCTTTAAGTATCTTAGAATGCTTTAAAATTTACAGCAACAACTTTTGTTTCAACCTAAACAGAAGTATGTGTGAAACCTTGGGTTTGTGTAATACTTACATTTTTTTTTCCCCAACACCAACCAAGAAGAAGACATAATTATTCTTTTTTGTTTTTATGCCATGGGCCTTTGAGAATTATCTTGTGCACCACCAACGGTCACATGTTTTGGAAAGCATCCATAAGATGAATGAGACAACTTTGGGTCTCATTTATTTACTGCAAATTTTTTAAATTCATTGCATTTTGAGAAAATACAGTTCAGAGAAGTTTGTGATCAGATCACCAGAAACAGAAATCTTCAAAGCGCATGACTTTTCTATTGGGAAAACTTGCTTGATCTTAGATTGTGAGTGGTCTACACTGAGGGGCTTGCTTGTCTGTGTTCATATCCTGCATGGTGATGGCTATTTTGCATCCTAGATTTCTCAGCACAATCCTGGTGCCACATATCACCCTGGTGACCCCTCCCTCAGCGCTGGACCCAGAGTTCTAGGAAGCTGATGTTATCTAGCCCGGCACTAAAGAGCAGGAACTGGAGAATTCTCTTCTTCACCCTCAGTCCCTTTTAGATCATCAGAGGCCTGGCTTGCCAAGGAATGTGAAGGCCCCAGGAATTCAATTATTCACTTTAACAACTTCTCATTAAGCATCGGAGATACTCCATGAACAAAACCAACAGTATCACTGCACAGGAAGGAGGGAGGGACTCATTTGGCCGGTTCTCCTCCGGCCGCCTTCCTCCCTATATCCTGCCCCAGGTGGGCCAGCGTTCCCAGGGTTCAACAGCTGTGCCGGAGACCAACCCAGCGCCCAATGGGAAGTGACCTACTGCCTGAGCAGAGCTCTTGGCCACCATTGTCCCATCAGCACAGGAGCACAGAAATCCAGCATCCTGGACAGATGACACGTGCCATAAGGGTCCCAGATCCTGGGGGCCTGGGCCTGGAATTCCACTGAACTCCCCTCAGCTGTGACCTAGATCTAGTCCTGGGTCAGCTGCCAAATTGCTGTGTGACCTGGGCAAGTCACTCCACCTCTCTGAGTGTCCCTGGCTGTGAGTGTCACATTGGGGCTTTCTAACATCATTGCACCCTGAAATTCTCCAATCTTAACCCAGGGCTGCCCTGAATGCAGTGAACTCTCACCCTTTCAGGCGCCGGAGGAGGCTGAGTACCTGGGGAGTGAAGCAGGACCGGTGCTTGTCACCACTGCCAGCCTCCACCCAGGTGTCAGGTTACCAGCCCGCCACTCTCGCTGGGTGGCAGCTCTGCCTCAGATATTTTTAGACTCCCCCCTGGCCTGTCCCTAACAAGAGCCAGATGCATCTGATTCCTGCCATAGTGCTGCTGAAATTGCATACTTTGGCTAACATCTGCAGGGAGCCAGACGTCACCATTCCTGGGGTGAGAAGGGGAACCTCCTCTTCCACTGCCACCACACCAATCCCCATTCCTTCCCTGCACATGCTGAGGCCATCGCCCAAAAGTCAGGCCTCTGGTCCTTTCTATGATGCCAACTACCCTCTTCCTTCATTCCAGCTGCTGTTGCCAATCACATGCCCTCCTGAGACACCCCCAAACACACACCCCTTCTGCACAGGCATCCCAAGGGGGCCCTTTAACTCGTTCCTCTGGTAGAGCTCTGCTCTATCAATCCCAGTTTCTGGGGCCCCACCCCACCTTTGGGTAAGTAAGGCTGCAACCTCCCCTCTGGATGGAGAGCCTTGCCCCACCCCATCCCCACCTTAGCTCCCATAGCCCATGCCAGAGTTCCCACTTGGCCACAGAGCTGGGAAGCAGCCACATGTTGCAACACACACACACACACACACACACTCTTCCCCCCACCCCCTGGAGGGTGGCTGGACTCCTGCTTCCCAAACAAACCTCACCAATCAGCCAGCGTCCGGCGCCACCTCATCTGGCCTGGAGAGACATTTATGTATTTTCATCTCAACAGACTTCCCTTCCTGGTCATGTCTGGCGGAGTTTACTATGACAAAGAAGTGGCCTTTGCTGTGCCCTCACCAACCAGGAAGGCCACAGAACAGAGGTGAGGGCAAGAGAGTGTCACTCTATGTCTAGGGTGAAAAATGGGCTGGCTGATCCTCCCTGTGAATTACCTGTTGCTGGAAAATGAAGACTCTGTGCTCATTGGCATGTGGTTTTAGCTCCTACTATGAAGATATTATGTGAGAGGCAGAGAAAAGAAACTGACATGAAATATTCACTTCCATTCAGGGAAGAAAGGATTTAAGTGCCATTACTGGGGTGGGAATAGGGGAGCAGGGAGGGGCTGCTAAAGGGATGTGCTCCTAGCCACAAATGCCACCAACCCCTGTTAGCTCCTCATTAGCTAAACCCTAATCTGGGGTAATGCCAGCCAGAGCGGGTTCACCCCCTCCTCCCACCATGGGTGGCGCAGTGTCAGCCCCAAGCCCCACCCTCCTCACGCCTGGCCCTGCCCTCACCCACCCAGCTGGTCAGCTCCATGGTTTCCAACACAAACACGTTCTCTGGATTTCAGGCACATCTCAATGTCTCCACTTGAGGGGCAGAGGAGGCTCCAGGCTATGTGGCCGGCTGCCTCCTACTCAACTGACTCCCCAGTTCCCTACGGGGGTGGAGGTGGTGAAATTCAAAAATCCTCAGTGGGAAAACAGGTTCTGCACCTTCCTGCCACCCCCATGCCTCTCCCCAGGCTGTGAGCTTGGCCTTGGCCAAGGGCCCCATGGGCATCCACGCCCTGTTTTCCCCAGAAGGGTTTCCCCTCATTCCCTGCAAATCAGCAGGGCATCTCCAGGTGGAAAGAAGGGGAGGGCCTGAGAGGCAGATGGAGGTTCAAGGTCTAGTTCTTTGCTTTACCAGCTCAGCGGCCTTGAGCAAGATGACTTGGATCGCTGGCCTGAATTTCCCCACTTGTAACAGGGGAGTGTGCTGGAAACAGCTCAGGAGTGAGGCTCCCAGGGAGAAACCGAGATGGAGGGCGAGCACCAGCGACTGCAAACCTCCAGCAGCTCAGGTGGCCATCCTTCACCTTGTGTGACTCCTGGGAAACCAAGACCCCATCCCTTCCTCATCCTCTTTAAGCTTTCTTAACTGGAGGACCGAATTCCAAGAAGAGGTGCCCAGCAATAGCGTGTCGGTTCTAAGATTTCTCTCTGATTCAGACTGGAGTGCAGATGTGGCTGGAGGTGTTTTTTAAAAACAATTTCATGATAAAATTGCATAACATCCTAATCATCATTTTAACCGATGGTAAGTAGACAATTCAGTGGCGTTAAATACCTTCACAGTGCTGTGTAACCGTTACCACTGTGTATACCCAAAACTTTTTCACCCTCCCCAACAAAAACTCTGTCCCATTAAACAGTAACTTCCTGTTCTCAGGCACCCCAGCTCCTGGCAACCACCATTCCACTTTCTGTCTATGAAATTTGCCTATTCTAGGTGTCTCATAAAAGTGGAATCACACGATTTGAATTGCAGGCTTCTTAAGTCCCTCTCCAAGCCCCTTACTTAGACACAACTGAATTATAAAATCAAGGTGCACGCACACACACACACCTTCAGAGCTTGGGAGGGACACTGCTCCCTTCCCCAAATCTGAAGCTGGCAGGCGTTGGACTCTGAGCCTGGAGGGAGAGCGTTGCCCTGTGGTGTCTTCAGAGTCCCCATGTCAGCCCCGCATCTTCACCCAAAAGACCTCCCTGGGGCGCGCTCAGGTCTCTGGATTTGGGGAGGAGGACATAGGATCCACACCCCGAGCTGCAGCCTCCCCTACCTCTGGAACCCATGGATGTGGTCTTGACTACTTAAAGCACCCCCAAACCCTAATAGAGTTGGCAGGGAGAGAGATGTCATCCCAGCAGCACCTCCGGGCTCACCCACCACTCCAGACCCCCAAGAAGTCGCTCCTCGCGGCTCGGGGGCGCGACGGAGCAGCAGCAGGGGCCGAGAGGGGTGAACTCAGCCCAGGAGGACCCACTGGCCCGGCCTGGGCGCACCAGTCCTGCCCGTGCGGCGAGGCTGGGGACGCTGCCCGGGGGTCCCTCACGCGACCTAGGGATCGCCCTGGACTATGAGAGCCCCGGGAGTGCGTCCAGCAGGGTGAGGGGGAGGCGCCCTGACTCCTCCCCAAACTTTTCCCGCCCGCTTCGGCGCAAAAGGCGTGGGAAGCTGTCCCGAAGTGGAGAAGTGGAATTCGGGGGCCCCAGCGAGCGCGGCGTAGACTGGAAGTCGGCGGCATGGGTGGCGCCTCGGCCCCCCCGTTACCGTCACCAATTCCGGGGGCCGCTCTTGGTCCCGTAAGTGGAGGAGTCGCGTCCCTGCTGCCCCGGCGCACGCGATCCTGGAGACCCTTGATGTCGCCCCGCGCCCTGGACGCGCCCCCAACTCACCTGGCGCTGGTGGCCGCGCTGGCAGCTGGAGCGGCTGACAGGCTGCGGTGCGAGGCGAGGCCGCCGGGCTGTTTTGAAGCTCTGGGCTGGGATTGCGCGCCCTCCCTCCACCCTCTCGGCAGCGCGGAGCCTCCTCCCCCGCGGTCCCTCCTTCCACGATTCCGCCTCCCGGGCCGTGACGTCAGGAGCCGGGAGAGCCGAGTAGGAGGGGCCGCTGGCGAAGGGAGGGGGGCCCGGAGGGAAAGGCAGAGCCCTAGAGCGCCCGGGCGCCCCCTAGTTCCCGTCCGCCTCTCGGCGGCTCTTTGGTCAAGTTGGGCGGAGCCGCTGGCACGGGCCACGGGGGGAGGGGGGTGGGGATGGCGGGGAGGAGGGGGGTGGGGATGGCGGGGAGGAGGGGGAGAAGAGGGAGAAAGGGAGGCTCCTGGGAGAAAGGAGTCTCCCTTCCCTGCAGGTTTCCACACCCCTCTCTTCCTCTTTCCTCTCCTCTTCCCTGTTCTTCTTCCTCCCTAAGGAGTTTTGGAATCCAGGCTCCCTGCTCTAGAACCCCTTCTCTGGACTTATTTTATTTTATTTTATTTATTTTATTTTTTGAAACAGAGTCTCACTCTGTAGCCCAGGCTGGAGTGCAATGGTGCGATCTCCGCCTGCCTCCCAGGTTCATGCGATTCTACTCCTTCAGCCTCTCCAGTAGCGGGGACTACAGGCGCCCACCACAACACCCGGCTAATTTTTGTATTTTTTGGTAGAGACGGCCTTTCACCATATTGGCCAGGCTGGTCTCGAACTCCTGAACTTGTGATCTGCCCACCTCGGCCTCCCAAAGTGCTGGGATTACAGGCCTGAGCCACCGCGCCAGACCTCCTCTGGCCTTTTATGAACTTACAAGCTCGTCCATAATCTCTCCTGCCTCCGTTTCCTCTTCTGGAAATGGGTATGATTATAGGAACTGTTTCCTTGGGTTGCAAAGTCTGAAGGTGATATTAGGTCCACCATGCTTGGTTCATGGTACCTGTCCCAGAGACGTCAGCCATTGTTATTTGTATTATCTCACCTGGAGTCCTGGCCTTGGTGTGAGATGCCCAGCAACCAGTCTTTAGACTCTCCCAGGATCCCTTAGTCACTCCCCCCACCACTACGCGCACGCACACACACACACACGCACACACACATTCACACTCACACAAACCACTCACCACAGCCTTTCAACCACCAGTCCTGGAATTTAGTGTCCCCGGAAATGACATCAAAAGATAAGGAACTACCTTTCTTTCCAGCCTCAGTTTCCCCATCTGGAAACTGAGAGGGCTGATCTGCTGTAGATGGTCCTGGGAGATGGGTGAGGAGACCAGAGGCACCTGAGCTCCATCATGTGTGTGGAAGGAGGGAGTGGGAGTCAGTGTATTTTTTTTTTAATTGAAGAAATTCCCTAACAGGGCCACAACATATAAAAGTATATGTTAAGACTTTTAATTTAACAAGTCCTAAAATAGTATACTTAAATACTTAAATAGTATACTTTTAAAATACTTAAAACAGTATAGTATACTTTTAAAATACTTACAACAGTATATTTTAAGACTTTTATTTTAACAGTTCTAAAAATATAAAATTGACTTGTGCCACTGACAAGAGAATGAGAAGCCCTTTTGAGAAATATTAATTTATTGTGCAATCATGTGCTCTGGTTGGACTCCTTGTTTATATTTTCTGTTGAGCATCTTTTTTTAATCCTACTGAGGAGCTCTGTCAGGAGAGGGCCTTGCTGGGTCTAAATTAGAGATCCTTGGGAGATTTGAAATCCCTCCAAAGGACCACCCCCTCCCCCAGGACTTGGGCTTCCCAAGTTGGCCTAGGGTCTGACCTGCCAAATCTCCTGGAATTCTATGGTTAACCAAGACAAGACTCTCATCCCCCAAGATAACTCTGTGTGTGTGTGTGTGTGTGTGTGTGTGTGTGTGTGTGTGTGTGTGTGTGTGTTTGGAGCTGGAGAGGGGACAGGAAAGCACTAATATGAACTGAGTCTTCTTCCTCCATAAAAGGGGAGGAGAGTGGGGTGTGGTTGCTATAGAGGAGGGCCAAAAGGGCCCACCTACCTGCCCATGGCCATGTGGAGGACAGAGAAACCCCCAAAGTCTCCCAGAAGGGTAAGGCCAGGTAAGGGATGGAGCAGGCAGGTTTCTGCATTTGATGAGGGCTTAGTGTGTGCCGCTTACTTACAAACATAATCTTCAATAGAACATGGCAGCCCTGCAAAGCAAGTTACCCTCATTTTATCACGAAGAAACTAAGGCTTAGAGAAGCTACATCAGTAACTTGCCCAAAGCAGCTACACAATTGATAAAGTTTGGATATGAAACCAGACTCACGGCAGGAAACCCCATTCTCCTCTTTACACTCTATCACTGTTTACCAAATGCTAACCACACCCAAGCTTTAATTTTTGCCATATCCACCTTCCACCTGAACTAGTGTTCCCTTAATCGTTTTATTTAAATTAACTCTGTTTATTTTAGTATGTTTATTTGAAAAGAAAGCCCTATATTGCCATGGTAAACAGGAAGCCAGTGCTATCTGCCAAAAATAGAAGACAAACTTATGAATATAAACACTATTGAAATAAAATAGTGGCAGTAAATTGCAACCAGACACTGTTGCCTGAAAGAGTCTGTGCGCCTGTGAGGTGTAGGGTCTATTAAAAAGGGACCCAGGTGTGGTGGTGCTTACCTGTAGTCCCAGCTGTTCAGAAGGCTGAGGTTGAGGATCACTTGAGCCTGAGTTCTGAGGCAGCCTAGGCAACATAGCAAGACGCTGTCTCTTAAAAAAAAAATTGATGGCAGTGATCAGCAAGATTTTAAAAGCATGCTGACACAGAGAAGTCTTTCCCCTGTTGTTATCAGAACAATTGCAAGATCCTTGGAAAAGAGAATCATGTTCTCACTCTGATTCAGAGCCAAGAGATACCTCCTCCCTGTACTATCTCCGAAGCCACCAACTGGTGGTGTGTGTCCCAACTGGGAAGAACCTGGCCAGACCCCAAGATGCCTCTCCAAGAGCCAGAGAAAGGAATGGGCCAATTACTCCTCTCCCTTGTTTCTAGACCCTCTCCAGAGCCCCACCTGTCTGTCCCGTTCACCTGCTACTTGCTGTTCTTTGCTTTCTGTCTTTAAATATACCTCTGTCCATCCAGGAAAATGGGAAACAGAAACCTGCCTCATACCTGCTTGTATCCCTGCTTCTGGTGTTTCAATAATGAACTTGGTGTGGGGGAAAGTAAGAGTGTGTTTGATTGAGTTCTGGTCCCAGTCCTTCAGCCCCTTATACTAGTAGTTTATATATATATCCCCACCCTAGCCATGGCCTCATGATGGGAGAAGTATATTCTTTATCTTGAGCTTGGCCATGTGACTTGCTTTGGACAATGAGATATTAGCAAAGATGACACACACAAAGAACGGAAGGGTGCCTGAACAGTAGGCTTTGCCCTCTCACTCTTTTGCCATTTCCATGAGCATAGTATACCTCTGGTAGCTTAGTGGTCCCCGAAAATGAAAGACATGTGGAGTAGAGCTACCCTGGAGGACCTACAGAATTTTTGTCAGAGACACAGAGCTGCTCCAGCCAACTGCAGACATGTAAATGGGAAATGTATGCTAACTGTTGAATGCCACTGTGGTTCATGGCTGTTTCTTTCACAGTAGTAGCTGGTCTATATGGAGAGAGACAGGAAGAACTGTAAGGAAGGCATTTGAAGGTATGGAAAGTCACCGAGGATGGGGGCTTAGTTCAGGGTGGGGATAGAAGATAATTGCTTATACAGTGATCTCTCATGTGTCTTTCTGGCTTGAACATTTTAGGGTTCTGCAGTCTCTTGTAACTGGATCCTGTTCTCTCTTTCCTTGTCTTAGAAGGAATGACTAGGGATGTCCATGCCTGGGTGCAAATCGGATGCCCAACCTTAAGAGAACCAAACAGAACTCAGTTGTAGCAGCATAGGTCATGGAGAAGACAATGTGGACTCTTGCTAAGAAGGATGGAGATTTTCTCAAATATCCACAAACTCCTGATGGGAATAGATTGAATATGAATGTGATTCAACCATCATAATCCACTTTTGGTTGGCGGGTTAGCTGAATCTTAACAGCTGCCGGGGGTTTTCCTAACTTCCATTCAATGGCTGTTTCCTTTGAAAACAAACTGGATACATAGGCTGCTAAGATAACCCCGTGCCCCTGCACCTCCCGGTGTTCCTGCCTTTATGTAGTTCACTCCCCTTGAGAGCGGGCTGCACCTAACAACTTGCTTCTTTTTTTTTTTTTTTTTTGAGATGGAGTCTCGCTCTGTCGTCCAGGCTGGAGTGCAGTGGCACAATCTCAGCTCCCTGCAACCTCTGCCTCCCAGGTTCAACTGATTCTCCTACCTCAGCCTCCTGAGTAGCTAGGATTACAGGTGCCTGCCACCACGCCTGGCTAATTTTTGTATTTTTAGTAGAAATGGAGTTTCACCATGTTAGCCAAACTGGTCTCAAACTCCCGACCTCAGATGATCCACTCACCTGAGCCTCCCAAAGTGCTGGGATTACAGGCAAGAGCCACCATGCCTGGCCACGAAAGCACTTCTAAGAGCATCTCAGCTGGCTGCCATCTTGGTGTGAGATAGATGGTTGGGCAGACTCTTCCCTACTGTATGAAGAATCAGGAAATCGGAATTCCCTTGAGTGGAATCTGAGAAACATGTTTTCTTGAGGCCATTTCCTCCGTGTCGCCTACCTCTGCAGACTGGGTTGGAGGCAGGATGGAGATAATGATTTCAAGCCCTAGTTACCGTGCAACTTAAAGCTCAGAGCTCTGGGTCTCATAGCTTCTCCCCATGAGCTAGGGGGTACAGCCATACCTTTTGAGTCTGACCTTTCCTGCCTCCTTTTATCTCTGATTTATGTTACTGAAATACCTGGAAACCACCATCATAAAACATCCTGCAAATGCAATAAGAATGAACAGTACAAATAATATCAGCTTGACTTACAACAAAGAGGGTTTGACTAAGCACCAAAGACAACAACCACAGAATTTCCAGTTATGGAGAAACAGCCAAAAACCATGCTGTCTTAGGCTGTTTTGTGTCTCCTAAAGCCATCCCATGAAATGAATGCAAACGTCTGTGAGTAGAACAAAGGTAAGTG